GAAGAATGGCAAGAAACAAGTCCAAAAAAAAATCTGTTTCATGTGGAAGTAGATGCTATGAAAAAAAATATAAGAAAAGGGAATGAAGTAGTGGGCATAATGTTTCACATGGGTAGTTACAGAGGGCTTCCTACAAAGGATGGCATGTGAGTGGAGACCTGGAAGGTATGGGAGGCACAATATCTAATATCTGGGGTGTATCTCAGGGAGAAGAAATGATAGATGTAATGTCCTACATGGAAAGATGCTTGCGGCATCTGAGGTCTAGCTAGGGACCAAGATGGACTGAGTGGAATGGAGGATACTGTGGTCAGAGAGCTGGGAGTAGAGGTGGCAGAACCTTGTAGGTCACTGTCTAGACACTGGGTTTGGTCAGGATGAAGAAATAGCCTTGGGAGGACTGCAGCATAGAAGGGAGCAGTTCTAGAAGTCCTAGTTGGAGCACGTAGCTTGTGTTTCAGAAGGGTCATTGGTAGTTGTCCTGAGGTCACAGTGGCCATTGTAAGATGGATCATGATAACAGAACTGATGCTACTACTGGTAAAAGTGTTCAAGTGACTGGATTATTATTGTATTTTAGAGGTTGAGGTAGAGGATTTACTGGTTGGATATGGAATGAGAAAGAGAAATTAAGAATATTTTTGAAATTTATGACCCCACTAGCTAGAAGAAATGGTGTTGCATTCAGTGAAATTGGAAAAATATTTTTCTTTCTATTCATATGTCACTGTCAATATTTAAAAATCTATTGGATAACTCATAATGATGTCTGGAGATGAGGTTGGAGAAAATAATTAAGTAAAAGTTCAATGTTTGTGGCCAGTTTTGCCTTTTAGAGGTAGATAGATGATAGTACTTGGGCATAGAGCCATAGAAAAAGAAACCCAAGAACAGGATGGTGGTGGTGATGGGAAAGATACTTAAAATTGATCCAGCCTCATAAATGATTCAGCTTTATGTGTAATTCATCTTCATTGATGAGAGAAGCCACATGTAATCATAGTAGATTTCTTCTCTTTTTCTCAGCCTGATAGTTTGTAAAACAGCAAACACTATCTTAGGATGACAAATACAGAAAATACAGATGAAAAACTCTTACTTTTACTATTATTATGAATTCTATATGATTATCATTGTTACAAGACTGATAATTTTGGAAACTTTCCCCTAAATTTGCTTGATTTACCTTGTTTATGTACCTCGTGTCCCTTAGATGATTTGTATTGCCTGCAGCAGACTGCTAACTAAGAGCAGTTGTTCATCACTCACATGTAGAGGTATGATACACCCCATCTATCTGATTTCATAAATTCAGTAATGTGCAAATGCACAGTTTCAATGTTTTGTGTTTTATTCTGGCTCATGTTGGAATTAAAGGGGTTTGCAAAACAAACGTAGGAGTTTTTCAGCAAATCCATTCACCAAGAATCAATATTTACTATTGGTGAATGAAATAAGGACATATTTCTGGAGAATATATTTCAGTTCTGGATATCTGTGACTAGCAATGTGCTAGATGACCAGGGAATGGGATCTGGCTCTCCCGGAGTTGGCTCTAGAGATTGTTTGCTTAGGGAGGGAAACTGCAAATGTTTGCAGCAAGTGGAACAAGTCCAGGCTTTGATGCCCTTGAGCATCAGTGAAAGTTTCAAGGTGACCTCCATCTTTAGTTAAACCCCTTATAGTGTGAGTACTGGGGGAGTTTGGAAAAGTTGGAAAACATTAAACTGAAATCAGTTAAAGAGCAATGTCCAAAATGACACGTTTGATATGCACCGTAAGCTCTAGGGTGTGATGAAATGTTTTTAAAGGGATTGTGAGTGTTTAAATCAGGACAAAAATGGCAAATAAATTGTGGGGCTGCAGTAGACCCTTTTAAGAATCTTTGACTAATTGTAAAAGGAATACAAAAGCCACTGACAACATAGCAAATTTGGAAAAATGATCTATTTAGAGAAAGCCCTGTTGGGAGTGTGAACTGATAGGAAGAAGGAAATGGGATCCCGGAGTACCACACTATTCTTATTGGTTTTTCTGCTCATAGTATGTTGAAACATTTGCAGCCCTCATAGTTCACTGCCTCAATTTCCCCAGATTTAAAATATGCTTCTCTTGGGGTGGTGATTCTGATTTAAAACCTGGCTTATGGACTATTAGCTATTAGCTTGTGGCTATATATGTATATATATGATGGAAGAGATTCTTTTTCTTTATCCTGCACCTTCTTGTTGAATTCCTTCTTTTTCAAAAGAAAAAGACATATTTATCTCATGTCTTTTATGACTCATTTGGAAATCTGCAAGGAAATTACATAATTCCTTATTTAGGAATAATTCCCTTTCACTTATTTTTCCACCCTCTGTTAATTTGTAATATAACAATCTTCCCCTGAGTAATTAATTGTAATTCTGCAAACTGAGTGAAAAATAAGTAGCAGAAGCTGATGAACCTTGAACAATAAATATTTGTATTTTATGCAGCTGCCACTAGTAATTAAGAGAAAATAACTTAGCAGAATAGACCCTAACTTGCTTGATTGCTTTGAGCGGCGGTCATCCATTCTGAGTGCGTTGACTAGGACTAGTAGATATTATGGAACATTTTGTTGAATGTCTATGGCACATTGCCACCTTGTGGCTGCAAGTTTCCTTGTACTGGAGAAGAGCAGCTTTAAACTAATGTTAAGTCTACATTGTGTAGCCTGATTTTTTAAGTTTTTTCCTGGTATTTATACTGTACATTGCTCACAAAAGATTTGAGGCATCACGTAAGGATATGTAGAATATAGTATTGGTGAATTTAAGAGAATATCACATAGTCTTAGAAGAGGCATGCTAATGTGTTTATGGGTGAAGACCCATAATCTGCAGCTAACACCCACTGCTTACATGAGTGTGTGTACATGTGTGTGCGTGGATAGAGGGAGAGAAAGCAAAGGCAGTGTGGTAAAAGTTAGCAGTTCATCATTGGCCAGTGGAGTGCAGGTGCTAATTGCGTTTACTCATAACCACTTTTCCATAATTTCAAGTTTTCTTCTGACATTTTTCAAAGTAAAAAAAAAAAAAAAAATTGGCAGGAAAGAAAAATTGGGGTAAGGACATAATGTGGAACCAAAAAGAAGGGAAAAATAACATTTGCATTGTGTGATGGTCTGACTACAATTGAACCATGGATTGGATTCTGCCTTCTCTAGTAACCAAAAGGTAACTGTCCAGGTTTCCCTGGCTACAATTCTTCAACTACAAAATTTAAGGGCAAAATATCTGAGGGTAGACGGAATTTCCTCCTTGGAGGCCTTTCTAAGTAGGACACTGATGTAATGAACATCAGTCTCAGCAGATACTTTGCAATAAGTACAACTTCCCATTTGTAAGGGCTGTTTCTTTTAAAAGTTCACACTTGAATTCCTTTCCCCTCCTGATCTGGCTTTGATTCTGGAACAGATGAACTCCTAGTTCTTCAAGGGCCCTTCACTAAAATTCTGATTGGAAGTTGAAATATAGTAAAGTACTAGCTGGCCAGGAGTATGATCCAGTGTTTAATGAGAAGTTATTGAAATTGAGCCTTTGGTTGTCACTAATGAGCCCAGTTGAGCATGGAGAAAAGTGGACAGTGTCTAGCAACCAGTGATGTCTATTCTATCTAAACTAACTTGGGAGGGGATATTCATAAGCGAGATCAAGTTTCTTACTGTGCAATGATGTTGAATGTGGTACAGTGGTGTAGACAACAAGTGGATGGATGGCCTATCTCTGAATTTCTTTTTATAAATACATTTGTGATGGTCTTAATATGAAAGAATTCAGATGGGTGTAACCATGGGAGCAGCACTTTCCCCATGAAAGCAGAACAAGTCTCAGTGAAACATCCCTTAAAATGCCTGGCTTTGAGCATTGCCACCCTCTGCGATGTTTTAACATTTCTACAGTTAGCCGTTTTCTGTGATAATTGGAATTTCTGCAAATATCTGAATATCTTTTTGCATATCCTTAATAATGACCTGGATATATATGTGCATGTGTGTGTACATGCACACACATTAATATTTTTATCCTTTGTGACTATCTAGATGCATATATATGCATTTGTACTACCTCTGAGGTGAACATCCAGAAGGTCAGCACTTTTCAAGTATGAAAGATTTTCTTTCTTTTTTCTTCTTCTTCTTTTTTAACACAATGCATTTATTTTTATGTGGTGCTGAGGACCGAACCCGGGTCCTGCCTGTGCTAGGCGAGTGCTCTACCACTGAGCCACAATCCCAGCCCCTGAAAGATTTTCTTATAAAAGCAGAACAGATCTTGAAATCAGTGTTGTGACACAAGGGATTCTTTTGTAAAAAGCTGTCTCTTGAAGTGGATATGGTTTCTCTGATTCTCATGACAGGTTTTCTTTTTAAAAGCCATGAAGTGATGTAGGGATGTATTGATTTCCATTAAGGGCTATGGTGCTTAGAAATCTCTCTCCTGAACTTATATTTGTGAGCAATACGTGAATTTTCTTTTGTGACCAACTAAAGACCGTATCTTGCTTCATTATAGAGCTATATGCTTCAGTTTGGGCTGAGGGGACCATGGTCTAAAGAAAAACATATTTTATTTATACAGGAGAATAGAAAACACATATATGCATGTACATAACTCAATCAAAAATTCCATGAAACAGTACTTTCCCTTCTTCATTGGACAGTGATAATTTCCATTCTGTTGTACTAAAAAATACTGATTACAAACAACTCAACTTGATTTCATGACCCACTAGTATGTTGTGACCTGCATTCAAAATCCTGTTACTGAGATTTTGAAGCAAGTGAGACTGTCTTTCAGATGAAAGACAAAACAATGAAATCCTGAATTTTCTAAGTATCAAGTGAAGAACAGGGTTGGGAGGAAGGGGGATTTAGAGGAGGATAAGAAAGGAAGCGAGTGTGAGCTGCGTCTTTGATTCTAGGTTGTGTCTAATGTCCCCACTAAATGTTGCTGCTGTCCTTCTGTGTACAGCTTGATCATATCCTGTCCCCACCACCCATGCCATTTCGGAAATGCAGCAACCCAGATGTGGCTTCTGGTCCTGGCAAGTCATTGAAGTATAAAAGACAGCTGAGTGAGGATGGAAGGCAGCTGCGGCGTGGGAGCCTGGGAGGAGCCCTGACTGGTGAGTCATGAGTGGCTTGGATCAGGGAAGGATTGTGCTTCTCTGATAGGGTCCTGGATGGCCGCAGGGTCTCATGTGAGAAAATCAACCTGCAGACCGTTGGGTACAATCTCATTCAATCCAGAAAATACTTAAATTGGAGCTTTTATTACTCAACTTTAATGAATATACCTGACATACAATGAACTGTCCCCATTGTGCATGTACATATGTATGAATTTGGGCAAATTCATGCACCAGTGTAACCACCACTGTGATCAAAATATAAAATGTTTCCTATGTTCTTTCTGCTTAATACCAGCTCTCACCTCATCCTCTAGTCTCTGGGTCCATGGCAGCCATATATCTGCTGTCTGTCACTGTAGATATATCTGAAGAGTTTTATATAGATGGAACCATATACTATGGCTTCTTTTGCTCAGCATATTGTTTTAAAGATTTGCCAATGTTGTTTCCATCAGTAGTTAAGTGTTTAATGTTTGTGTCTGTAATATTTAACTTCATAAGAAACTATCAAACTGTTTTCCATAACTGTGCCATTTTCTACAACCAAAAATGATGAATGAATAAACCAATCACTCTACTTCCTTACTAATCTGTGATGTTCCCAGTCTGTGTAAGTTTGGCCATTTTCATGATATATAATCTTATCATTTTGTGGTTTTTCTTTTGTATTTTTTTGACTATTTGTTTTTTAGCTTTCTGGTACTGTAAGAAATACCCGAGATAATCAACTTAAAAAGAGAAAAGGTTTATTTCAGCTTAGTTTTAGAGGTTCTAGTCCATGGTTTGTTGGTACCATAGCTTTGGGCCTGTGGCAGCACACCATAGTGCAGAAAGAAAGAAAGGAAGAGGAATGGGCTGGCCCTATACCTTTACTTTCAAGGACAACCCCCCAGTGATCTGAAAATCTTCCCATTAGGCCCCATCTCTTAAAGTTTCTCCTACCTCCCAGTAGCATCACACTAGCATCAAACCTTTAATACATGGACCTTTGGGGGACATTCCAGATCCACACTACTGCAACTAGAGAAGTAGAACATCTTTTCATGTGCTTACTGGACATTAATAGATCTTATTTTGTGAAGTATATTCTAATCTTTCAACCATGTTTAACTCATTGTTATAGTTAATTAAAAAAAAAAAGTCAAGTTAGGCACCAAAATACATACTGTATGTTATTTATGAGACAGCAGTAAAAGCTCTTTTTAAAAAAATTTTTATTTGTTCTTTTTAGTTATACATGACAGTAGAATATACTTTGACATATTATACATACATGGAATATAACTTCCCATTCTTGTGGTTGTACATGATGAAGAATTATATTGGTCATGTATTCATACATGAATATAGGAAAGTTATGTCCAATTCATTCTAATCAGTAAAAGCTTTTAAATGTGAGAGATTAAAAAATCTGGTCTCATAGAATTAGAGAATAGAATAGTGATTACCAGAGCCTGGGAAGGGGAGGTTAGAGAGAGTTTATAGGCACTGGGGTACATTTAGATTGGAAGAATAACTTCTCATATTCTACAGCACAATAGGCTAACTATGGTTAACAATAATTAATTTTTGTATAGTTTAAAAAGAGCTACTAAAGAAGATTCTGAATGTTCCTAACACACAGAAATGATAAAATGTCTGAGATGATGGATCTGCCAATTTCCCTGATCTGATCATTACACATTGTGTAACTATGTTGAAATATCATCATGTAGCCCATAAATGTTTACAATTATGTGTCAATTAAAACTCATATTAAATGTTTTTATTAGTACATTATAGTTACACACTTTGACATATATATGCATAGAATATAATTTGTCCAACTTCAGTCCCCCGGGCTTCTTCTTCCCTATTTTCCTTCTTCTCCATCCCCCTACTTCTACTCTACTGGTCTTCCTTCTGTTTGTTTATTGTTTTTTTTAATTGATGCTTTATACATAAAATTCATTGAGATATATGAATATATGTACATAGCACAATTTGGTCAGTTTCATCCTATAGTTTCTCTCTTTTCCTCTCCCTCATCCCTCCTCCTCTATTGCTTTCCTCTATTCTACTGATCTCTTTTATTTACATGGGATGCTCTCACCCCATTTTGTTCCTTATTTTACTATAGATTCTGCATATGAGAGAAAACATTGAACCCTTGTCTTTCTAAGTCTGGCTTATTTCACTTAGCAGGATAGTCCCCAGTTCCATCCATTTACCAGCAAATGCCGTAATTTTATTCTTTTTTATGACTGAGTAAAACTCCATTGCATATATTTATGGTATTTTTCTTTATTCATTTATCTGTTGATGGGCACCTGGGCTGATTCCATAACTTGATTATTGTGAATGTGCTGCTATAAACATTGGTGTGCCTGTATCAATATAACATGATTTTAGATCTTTTTGATAAATACCAAGGAGTGGAATAGCTGGCTTATCTGGGAACTCCATTCCTAGTCTTTTAAGGAATTTCTATATTGTTTTTCATAGTGGTTGTACTAATTTGCAGTCCCATCAACAAGTATGAGTGTACTTTCTTACCCACATCTTTGCCTGCACTTATTATTGTTTGTATGTTTGATGAATGTCATTCTAACTGGAGTGAGATTAAATCTCAGTCTAGTTTTGCATTTCCCTGATTGCTAATAATGTTGAAAACACACACACACACACACACACACAAACACACACACACACACATTTGTTAGCCATTTGTATTTCTCCATTTGGAGAAATATCTTTTTTTGTGTGTGGGGGGAATGTGTGTGTGTATGTGTGTGTGCGTGTGTGTGCGTGTGTGTGTGTGTGTGTGTTTGGCAGGGGGATGTTCTTTGAGTTCTTTACATATTAGTGAGCAAGATCTTCTCCCATTTCTTTAGGCTCTCTCTTCATACTTTATTTTTCTTTGCTGTTATGAAGCTTTCTAATTTGATGCCATCCCACTTACTGATTCTTTTTTTTAAATATACTTTAGGATTATTAAAAAGGAAGTTGGTGTCTGTACCAATATGTTGGAGTATTCACCCTGTGTTTTCTTCTAGCAGTTGGAAAGTTTCTGGTCTAATGCCTAGATCCTTGATCTACTTTGAGTTGACTTTTGTGCAGGGTGAAAGACAGGGACTTAGGTTCATTCTTCTATATATGGATATCCAGTTTTCCTAGTACCATTTGTTAAAAGGCCTTTCTTTTCTCCAATATGTTTTGACACCAATTAAAGATGAATTTAAAACTTGCAAAACATTCTTAAAAAATTTCAAAACCAGAAAACCCACAAATCACTTTCTTTAACTCGAAAAATAGCCAAATTAAGATATTTTAAAACAAAGACCTTTTAAAAAACTCCTCGTTTAAATTTTCATATTAAACTCAACTTTAAAATCACTAAATGTTAGGTTCCTTTCATTTCATCAGACTGCTTTTCTCTCTAAATACACATATTTTGGAGGAACTCTTATTATTTTTTAAATCTGAGACTGAGTTTTGTCTACATACCACAGTCTTGTCTGCCAGTTTATAAATCGTCTGGAAAAGCAGTTGAAATGCTCGCATTTTTTGAAGAATTATGGATTTTGACTTTCTGAAGATGAAATTTCTGGGAACAGAAATGCGGCTGCCACATGGGCTGTAGAGTTGGAGCATTTGGTGCAGTGAAGGCAGTGCTGGGGGTGGGAGGGTCTGACCTCCAGCCAGGGGAACACAGTCCTCAAACACCACTGTGCTTCCCTGAGGTTAAGGCACAAGTTTTCACTTGAGTCCTTCTGATGTTCTACTAATGTTTGTTCTCATTTTTTTTTTTTTTTTACTTTCCTTTGGTAAGTGCAGACTGTTTGCTATTTTAAGTGGGACAGTCTAAATATTATTTAGTCTAATCTATATTTTATAGGTAAGGAAATTAAATCTTAAAGACACCCTGTCTTTATTAATTTTAATTAGAAAATTTACTTTGATTAAACTTTTTTTTTTTTTTTGTATTAGGATTGAACCCAGAGGTGCTATACCACTGAACTGCATCCTCAATCCTTTGTATTTTTTTTTATTAAAGGATCTCACTATGTTGCTGAGACTGGCCTTGAAGTTGAGATCCTTCTGCCTCAGCCTCCTGAGCTGCTGGGATTATAGGTGTATTCCACTGCACCTGGCTTAAAGTATTTTTGTCCAATAGGAGGGGCAGTAATTGTGCTCACCATTTGTGCTAGAGCAGTTTATTTGAAAGCTTTAAAGTGCTGCAGAGGTGTAAGTCTTGCTGCAGATAGAAGACTTGAAGCATGAAATTTGGCCTTTAGCTTTATTAAAAAAAAAAAAAAAGATTTGGTTCTCATTTCTTAATGGTAGCAGCTCTAGCAATTTTATCCTTACACAATTAGGTTGCTGTACAATAATTTTTGGTAATTATCTTTGTATAGTTAATTTTTTAAAATGTTTAATCATTCTTAGAAGAGATTTAGAAAATCCATTGAACATCAGCTTGTTTCTGAAAACAGTTCCTTGGAATTTGTATTGGAATATGAGAAAAAACATTCTTAATTGGTCCTCTAGATAGCTTAGCTAAAGATTTAATGAAGTAATATGTGCTAAGCACTTAGCCCAGTGATGGGCAGCTATTACTATTATGTATATAAGTAATTGAATTTGGGAGGATTTGGAGTTGATGGGAAGCAGAGGCTCATGAAAATCAGTTTGGTACCTTTATTATGTGGATTTCTACTTTGTTCTTCACTGAGTTCTTGTCAAGCCAGAGCTAGATAGGGTACAGAGGAGGAAGCATCATCTCTGATCTTAAAAAAAAAAAAAAAATGCAGTTTCCACTAGTTTCAGGCAACTATAAATGTACCTTGGGACATATCCAATTGCTAAACTTAAATTAAGTCAAACTGAACTTGCCATCAGAAGCCTTTGCCTAACCTATTCTGTTACTTAAAGATGAACCTGCTTCCCATTGCTTAAATTTTACTCCAAATACCTTTATATGGACAGAATTTGACTTTGCTTAAAATTATGAT